TTCCCAACACCAGAGAGGTTGCAGAAAAAAGCCGAAGCCGTAAAATCTCGAAGAAATAACTGGTGACACAACTTTCCTAGAATTCTCTGAGGACACTTTTCCACAAAAAATTGGGAAGCTTCCAAAACTATATAGTATAGATCCATTTTTAAAACAAATGATGAAATTCTTCCATATGCTCAACCGTACGCTTGGACATTCGTCAAAAAATTCGAAGATTTTGGATCACCTCCCTGTTCCATGGTATCACAACAGTAACTATGACTGTTCTTTACCTCCATAAGAATTATAAAAATGCAAAAAGAAAGCTGGAACCACTGACAAGAAGGCACATCCTTCACAGCTTCGATAGAGCATTAGGCCGGAGTGCAATTCACCACAGCATGTAAAAATGTATGTGTAGGAAATAGAAAGGCTATCTCCTGTGCTGTAATCGACTGTTTTTCTCGAAATATGCATATTGCTACTCGAATTCATGACATTTACACGGTGTCACTTAAACCGCTTAGTAGCATGGTTATCTTCGAGACTGACCCTTGACCATTAGAGGTTTGTTGCAATACCACAAATACCTATACAATATTGCAAAAGATCATGTGAAAGAACGTTATTAAGAACATCAATAACAACGTGGATGTTGTACGATTATTTTTAGTAATTGTTTGCCCACAGTGGTCGCTCGTCAATCTAATGATACCAACTAATTAGCAAACATATTGATTCGTAATATGGCCGCAATCAGAATTGCCATAGTGAAACCGGGTCAATGCATCGAAAGGGGGGGGGGGACTTTGTTGCAATCGTTCGTGCCGAATACAAGAGTAATGCCAATTTTCGCAGGGAAAGAAAGCTCCATGGCGGGTACTGAAGAAGAATCAAATCCAGAAAACTTGTTGCAAACTTCCTCTTCCAGCAAAACAAAAGTTGGGATTTCTAGAAGCGGAACAAACATTGCATAAATTCCTCTCCCCCACCCCTTACGGTACATAGAGCCGAGAAATTCGTGCACGTAACCGTAGAAAGTGTTCTAATTAGAAGGAAAGAACCGGACAAGCTATTTCTTCCCCGCTTAAGAAGTGATTTGTCTGTCGTACACATTAGTCAAGCAGGTTTTCGATGTCGGAACTCAATCCCCCCCCCCCACCATCATAAGACCTTCAATGATCACAACGTTCATTATGCTAATGTTGCACAGCATTTTTGAGAGCGGCGACCACTCGAGAACTCAAATAGTTCACAACCAGCTGTGGGTCGTTTGCGGAACACCCTGCTAGCCAACCTGAGTAATCCATTCAAATAACTTTCCAATGTAGAGGCCAGACCAGTAAGGAAAAAGAATTAGCGGCGCTATGTGCTCGGGGGGGGGGGGGGGCAGTCACCGCGCGCGGCTGTGCGGCAACAGGAAATTCGAACATTCCAGCTTCTCACGCATGTCATGTGACTGCCCTCACCCCCAACCCCCCTGAATTGGCTACACTCCCCCTGGCTCACGAATTTCCTGTTGCCGCAAGAGCGCGCGCGGCGACTGGCCCCCCCCCCGAGGCACATTGCGCCAATTAGCAAAACCTTGACTACGGCGCCAAAAGGAAGTCAAACGCTCAGCACATTCTAAGATGGATACTGAAAACTTAATCCGTTATTGAACCTGAAAAGGTACTACTTTCCATACTTTCTGCAACTGCAACATAGAGGTTAAATTTCCTACACCCTGCGAAGAAATGAAAATGAGTCATGGAAGAAGCGCTAGCAGTGCTCGGAGAATTCCATCCATCTCCGCTTTCCCTTTGACTAGGAAACGCTCTGTATTCTTTGCTTTCGAACACTTTCTGCTTCGTTTCACAATAATGCTATGGCCCCCTTCGTCCTACATGATACACGTCACGTAATAAGTGGGGCGCACAATGTATTCAAGCAGCCGTCTGGCTTGACCCCTTGACTAGGAAACGCTCGAAGGATTTTACGATAAGAACGAAGGTTGAAAAGGAGAAATTCACATGAAGGAGAGACAGGGCGGACTCCCTAATGATCAACACACAATTCGCATCGAAGGATATGCCTCCAGCGATCTAACACGGCCTTCTCTTTGACGCAGTTGGTGGCGTGGAACGCCCACCGACTCCCTAATCACTCGCCGCAGGTCTATAGCGGAAAGAGCGTAGTATTAACACGTTGACGACCGCCGTTATGCGCGCACTGCTTCAACATTTTTCGTATTCTCTCATCAATAGGCATTAATCCTTCAGCGTTTTCATTATCAGTAATGAAAAATGTTTTTCGGATCCAATAATGTACATGGACCGTTGTGGAACAGGAAAAAACGCCAAAAAATTCAAGGAAAACTAGTCTGCTCCATGTGAAAGTGTGGTATGACATCATACCACACGGTCGCCAACGTGTTAAAGAGGGCACAACGATGAGAGCCGCATCAATGCGCAAATCAACGGGCAAGGAAGGGGTCCCATTTCTCGGGTTTGGGCCGTTTCAATGGTTTCTTTCATCCCTGCTCCACTACCACCTCTACCCTTATTTCCAAAGAGCTACCTTTCCATCGTAAAATCTGCCTTGAATGCACACAAGTAAGGAAAGATTGATCGCTCACAAACCGAATTGCATTTGATATTCAACCTTTAATAAGACTTTTATTGATAATCCATCAACAAAAGTAACAACATTGACAGTACTATTGAAACGCGAAAGCGTTTGTTGCAGGTGAATACCCAAACGGGAGATCATCATCACGTCCTCTGAAAAATGATGTCATTAATAATTGCTTATGTGCCACAAAACAAAATGGATCCAAAAACTCTGGCATCCGATAGGAGCCATCTCATCAAGCAAAAAGAGACCCATTTCCGTTCCTTTTTCAACAAAAGGGAAATAGGAAGGAAGTGTGGAATGCCGAGCGGAGAGAATTTATAAGCAAAACCGATGAACGGCATGAACCAACCGTGACATTCTACTATACAGATGCTGTCGTTGAGTGTTACTGCCGGATTGGAACTGTGGGACAAGATCAGCAACCACATCACATCTACTCGCTAAATATGCCAACTGTCGCGTCAATATAGAATCCAAGTCGACGTGTTCTTCCGTAATGCAATCCACGTTAATGTACTTTTCCAGAGACTGAAAAGGATTGCTTTGAGAATGACAACTCTTCCTAATTTTTGTCTTACACCATCTGCTGAGACAAATACACAAATAGCTGATAACTAAAAAGAAGTACTAATGAAAATCTCATACCTTCACAATGTAACAATCGGTAGGACAAAACGTCTGCTGCGGAGATTCTTTAGTCTCATTTTTAATGAACACAATACCAAAGAGTGGTAACTGCTTAGGATAGTCCACCGGTAACATGATGTAGGCATTAATTCTGAAACAAGAGAATACGAGTGAACGACATCTCCAATCGTGAACCATCACTAATTAAAATAAATAATGTTTTTCGAAGATGAATGAGCAATTCCTCAATTGCTTTCAGTGTAGTTCTGTGTGCGACCTATTGCATTCATAACTCTTATAACAGGCCCTTTCGGGTAACTATCCAGTATTTGAAAGCTAAGGCGTAGTATTTCTACCAGTTTTTTTGGAGACGTTCCAAAATCTACTGGAGTCTGAAGGCTTTATGAAAAAAGGTCAAGTGGTACTTTGTTCATTTCAGTGTACATGAATACATTCACCTTCCTTCTCACATCATAATTGTTCTAAGGTCTTCACGAAAGGAAGCCATCAATGTTGAACTGTGACTGGCTAAACCTAAGATCAAAACCGTTTGGCACTACCTAACCTCGAAATGCCTTAGGGTTAGGGGGAGGGAGACTCCGGAGTGGATAATCCACAAACCACGTACGGCAGAAGTTGCAGCGTGTGAGATCACAGGGCGATTGGCCTACTCACATCAAATCCCTCTCTCCCAAAGGCCTAACCCTGATCGCAATCTAACCACCAGAGAGAGGACGAGCACCAATAGGCGCCAACTCTAAAATGATGGCTATTTCGTATCTCAGGCATTAGAGTTACCAATGAGTACTGGTTCTAAAACTGATCTTGACCCTTGAATTGCTGTATTACTGCCGAAAACGCACTGAAGTGGACTGCTGCGTAAGAGCTAGTCAATTCGTTATTGACAAAAACAGAGAACTCCTTAGCAGTTTTCTTGAAGGGAATTGCGAAGGGAGAGAAACTTACTTGAGATCAGACAGTTTATTCAACAAAGCAGCCATGAAAAAGAACGCTCCCTTCTCGCGTGAGGCTAAAATCCTCAGCTCTGGCGTCACAGATGACTGTAACAAATTAATTAGACCTCAAAGGAAACAATTTCCAATAAACGAGCAGAACAGGAGCTGCAACTGATAGGAAAAAAAGCTTAGTGTTGCTAAACAATGAAAGAACCCACCATGAACGTCTCTTCATCAATCATTTTAAAGGAGGTGATCTGTGTGACCATCTTCAATGGGATGTCAAATAACCGTATGGCATCCATTGGTGAAGATTCTGAAGCGTATTCTCAGGGTATCAGGGAACCTCGAGAAAGTTCGACAACCCCTAGCACAATAGAGGACTTCTAACAACGAAGAAGCATTGCAAAGATACTAACCTAAAGCGACTAGTTGACGGACGAGTTTCACACGGGCCCATACACGATCGCGGATGGCTTTTACAACATCGTGTAGTACATCAGCCAGTTGTATGCCTGTAGTGTCGATTTTTGATGGCGAATCTCCGCCAGTCAACGATGCCGATCCTGTCAACGCCTGCACGAACCGATATGGTCGGCCATATTTACTAGCAAACGAATCCACTCCGATCCTGGAATGATAATGGTAAAAACCATAAGGGTCACTGACACTATCCAACATTTATAGTGCGCTTGACGTGCATGAGTTTGCAGTACTCGTAACTGTGAAGAAAGCCTAAGCGAAGTCAAGTACAGAGCGGTAAAAAATGGGAAAAAATTCACCGGCACATTCATTCAAACACATGAAGAAGGCAATAATGTTATGACGTTAAAAATATTGAAATTGACGGCTAACGAACTTGAGTTGAGCTAGCTTCGCTGCTCCTACAGGATTTGGGCACTCCATTCCATCGTCACCAGGAAACAAAGAATCGAGTAAGTTTTCATGAGCGGAGACACCACTAAAATATTTGATTTGAGACAGTCACATTCGACGGCACTTCAAAGCATTGCTCAAATCAACAATACAATAAGTTACCCATGTGTTGGCAATTTCCCAGTGATTTTGTACTTCATGCACGTAACCCTCAACTCCGGTAGATGAAACAGTTTCAAAGCAACTTTAACATCATCTGAAGCATTTTGATGTCTGTTTTTTCTCTGATATAGCACTAACTACAAATTGAGATGGGGCTACCTTGACATCCTATATCAATCTTCAGATAAATGGGATGTGGCTGGGTAACTGCCTTCTTGTTCAACTCCAGTCGATCTGACACAACACTGTGTCGCTCATCATTATCACTTGTTTCTGCAACAAAGTAGAAAGTAACAGCTGTAACACAGCTATGTCAAACATCGGCTATTCCAGCTTATCACGAACCTTCATCGTCGCTCCTTTCCTTCTCCTCAGCCTCCTCTTTTTGTCGGCGATTCAGCCGCAGTGCCTCATTTGCATCTCCACGAATTACTACTTGTAAGCTCGTATCTTAAATATAAAAAATGAACAAAACTCGAAAACAAAAAGAAAACCAAGTGGGAGAGCAAAAAGCGTGAAATGTAGCTTAATGAACAGCAGTGAGGTGGTGGTATCTCCACAACAAGAATGTTTACCGGAATATCGGGACTGAGACTATGATGTAAATTATAGTTGAGTATAGAATGTTAAAACACTGACGATATCCGTTAAGAGTACATCTGAGCATCTTCAAAAAACTAAAACTCATATACCTTCCATGATATCCCTATAGGCCTCAGCCTGCACGTATAAGACCGATAAGTCATGCGGCAGCAAGGAAAACAGAGCTCGCTGTTCTGCAGATGAGGCCGAAGCATTTCCAACTCCAAGCGCCTCTTGAACAGGCTTGGCAGCCTGCAATAAAGCAAATGAAAGCTTCAAAATGAAGGGTGATAAGCAACAGCCGATCAGAGACAAACGTTGCGAATTTTTGGGTGCAACTCCCAGTTCTCAGATTGAGGGCTTTGAATGGAACATTGAAATTCACGTACTGTTATTAATAAAGAGATTTTCGATCGAAGGCTCTTCAATCGTTGCTCCTTGCCATTGATACTGCTGATAAGAACATTCCGACGACCTTCTTGTTCAGTTAATGTATCAACCAATCTGAACATTCTGGCGTAGTGAGCCATATCGACATATCAAAAGAGATGACCATTATGACACGATCCATTACCATTCAGCTTGTCATACCTCTTCTATTGGACCCAAAACAATCAAAACTTACGCTTTCCGTTGTGCTATTTCCCACGTCAACCTTGCTAATCGCTGCTCGTGCTCATTCGTTTTGGTCACCTCTGGTCGAGATACTCCCTCAGGAGCATGAGCATAGAATTCATCCAATGGAACCAGTTCGATATCTTCGTCGCCGGCACTATAAATACCAGGCGTATTTGAACCACCAACTGAAGACTAATAACAGTAAGAAGTAAATGTGTAAAAGGTAGTAGGACCAGCGTTTTGCACTTTTACTTTCTAAGACTTCTTTTTGGGAGAATCGTTATAACAATTTTTACACGGGAAAACCAGCATGCGAAACTGCTGCCGCCGGAGGCTAGACAATTCTGTTGAGTTGCGACTTGGATGAGCCAAACATCCAGGAAGTTCTGCCCTGCACGTCCCTTTCCCTCGCTGTCCCTGTATAATCGAGACTTCTTGCTTATCGCTGAGGCTCCCTTCTGCCACACTTCCATCAACTGCACCTCCAAACAAACAAAAGAAACAAACAAATGAAGTGCTTCGAGTCAAGGCGCGTGCAGGGCGATGAGGATGGAGGGAGGGAAAAAGGTATTACACTATTTTCTTTCCCTTCACTATCCCCAAATGTATTACTTACTCGCCACCTCTAAAAAAACCTGACACGACTACCTCCATCACGGCAAACACGATCTGCAACTGGCTCATCCTTCCTACTTCACAATTGGTACCTAACTAATCACTCAATAACACTTTTCAAATCATACTTACCAGGCCTTCAAGCAGTAACAAAACAAACAAGTAGCAGAAGATGCTCCGACTCGGTTAAAGATGGGTTGTAGGATGAAAAGGCAGCCCATCGGAAGTTAGTTCAGAGATGGTCAGTGATGCGCGAAAGAAGAAAAACCCGAGAAATGGCCTGAACCCGAGAAATGGGACCCCTTCCTTGCCCGTTGATTTGCGCATTGATGCGACTCTCATCGCTGCTGCCCTCTTCAACGCTACGCTCTCTCTGCTCAACGGCTAGAGACTCAGATACGAGACGACGCGAGAAGGGCGTACCGCGCCAATAGCGCGCCAACTGCTAGATCGCCCCAGCCATATCCTTCGAAGCGAAGAGCGTGTCTGTCGGCATTCTTAGGTGATCTGCCTATCTCTGGACTAAGTAAGTTTTCTTTCTTCGACCCTCGTCTCCATCGTGGAATAATACTTTGATTGGTGATTTAGCCAGTTCATAAGTACCGGTTGGCACGCACGCTGTTGCGCGCACAACGCAGTTCTGCGGCGACATGGAACTATGCGGCGAAAATGCTCAAGTTCAACCCGATTCACCACCAATATTGGACTTGCCCTTCTAAGCTAGATTCCATCCGCTTACTTCTCTGTTCCGTGCTATTTCTGTACCATATTTCGACCCTGGATTTTAGCTCCGGGGTCGAAATATGGTCCAGAGCACGGAGCACGCCACGTTGTGTGCCCCGCCCACCGGTGACCTTTGACCCTTCTTTCTTCGTCAACCATTGCCCGCTTTTCCGCGCTCACCGCACTGTCCTTGACACGATTTATAGGATTTGTTGCAAACTTCGCCTATCGGTGCAAGCTCCACCCACCAATAGCATTGGACCCTTTCTTCACTAGAGCCTTCATACACTTTTTTCCCATCTCTGAACTGTCTCTGAATCGGTTCGTACGTCTGGATGCAAACTCCGCCCACTTTGTAGCATGCCCCGCCCACCAACAGAAGTTGACCCCCTTTCCTTCGCCGGCCTATGTCCACTTCTTTCCCAGTCTCCGGAACTTCTTGGAACGTAGTAATAAGTGTAGGAGCAACTTTGGTGCACGTCACGCCCCATTAACATTGAGCCTCCCTCCTTC